GTGTGCCGAAATGGGTGTAGGGGACGCAGGTGGACCCTGGCACTGGGGCCTTCGGTGGAGCTCCCTTTGGGGCCACGAAACGTGTGAGGGGTGCGCCGACATGGGTGTGGGGACCCCATGCGGGCACCCCACTAGGGCCTTCGGTGGAGCCTCTCTGGGGCCACGAAACGTGTGAGGGGTTTGCCGACATGGGTGTGGGGACCACATGCGGGCACCCCCACTAGGACCTTCGGTGGAACTCCCTATGGGGCCACGAAACGAATGAGGGTGTGCCGAATTGGGAGTGGGGACCGCAAGCAGGCACCTCCACTAGGGCCTTCGGTGGAGCTCCCTATGGGGCCGCGAAACGTGTGGGGGTGTGCCGACATGGGTGTGGGGACCGCATGCGGGCACCCCCACTAGGACCTTCGGTTGAGCTCCATGTGGGGCCACGAAACGCGTGAGGGGTGTGCCGAACTGGTTGTGGGGACCGCATGCAGGCACCTCCACTAGGGCCTTCGTGGAGCTCCCTCATGGGGCCACGAAAAATGTGAGGGGTGTGCCGAAATGGGCGTGGGGACCGCATGCGGGCACCCCCACTGGGACCTTCGGTGGAGCTCCCTGTGAGGTCACGAAACGTGTGGGGGGTGTGCCGACATGGTTGTGGGGACCGCAAGCAGGCACCTCCACTAGGGCCTTCGGTGGAGCTCCCTATGGGGCCGCGAAACGTGTGAGGGGTGTGCCAAAGTGAGGGGGGTGACCGGAGGAGGGAGGAAGGGGTGAGGAGGTGCAGAGGAGAAGAGGAGAAGAGAAGAGGAGAAGAGGAGAACGCGGGGACCGTCTCTTCAAAATGAGGGCCCAACACCCAGGATGGTTGGGACAAACAAAGAAACTGTTCTGCCTTCCCCATCTCCTGCTGCTTTGGACGTCCTCCTGTACCTCTTCAGCAGATTCATCAGCATACTCATCAGCACGATCCTTCCCCAAACTCTTCATCCTCCTCCGCCTCCTCCTGCTCCTCCCTCGACTCGTATTCATCATCCATCCACCTCTCCCCCTACTCATCACCATCATCGCTTGTTCTTTCTCCTCCTCATCCAACCTCTCGCTCACCCTCGCTCTATCCGTCCCTCTCGCCATCCCTCCTCCTGGTGCTCCTCTTCCCTCCTTACGGTCCTCCTAATCCTCCTCTTCCTCGTCTTTCTCCTCCTCTTCTTCCTCCCCACCATCATCAGCAGCATCATCAGCAAACTCATCATCATCATCATCATCATCATCATCATCATCATCATCAGCATCATCATCATAATCATCATCATCATCCTCATCATCATCATCATCATCATCATCATCAGCATCGTCATCATCATCATTAGCAGCATCATCATCATCATCATCATCATCATCAGCATCATCATCATCATCATCAGCATCATCATCAGCATCAGCATCATCATCATCAGCAGCAGCATCATCATCATCACCATTAGCACCATCATCAGCATCAGCAGCATCATCATCAGCATCATCAGCATCATCCTCATCCCCATCCTCATCTTCATCCTCATCATCAACAGCATCATCATTCTTATGAGTTACCATTATTAATATTATCAACCTCCTATTCTTCCCGAACATCATCATCATCATCATCAGCAGCAGCAGCATTATGAAAATGGTGGGCATCATGACCATCGTCATCACCATCATCATAAACATCATCATCATCATCAGCAGCAGCATCAGCATCGTCATCATCATAATCATCATCATCATCAGCATCATCATCATTATCATCATCAGCATCATCATCAGCAGCATCATCATCATATAATCAACATTAGCACCATCATCAGCATCAGCAGCATCATCATCATCAGCATCATCAGCAGCATCATCATTCCCATCCTCATCCGCATCATCATCAATAGCATCATCGTTCTTATTCGTTAGCATTATTAATATTATCAACCTCCTCTTCTTCCCGAACATCATCATCATCATCATCATCATCACCATCATCATCATCAGTATGAAAATGGTGATCATCATGACCATCGTCATCACCATCATCATAAACATCATAATCATCAGCATCAAAATCATCGGAATCATCATCATCATCAGCAGCATCAGCATCATCATCAGCATCCGCCTCATCATCATGGTCAGCATCAGCACCAGCATCATTACCAGCATCAGCATTGTCATCATCATCATCACCATCATCACCATCATCCGCATCATCCACATCATCAGCACCATCATCACCATCATCAGCATCATCATCAGTATCGTGTGCATCCTCATGCCTTATCCTCATCCTTCACCGTGGCCTTGTCCTTCTAAATCCTCCTCCATCTCCTCTTCATCACCAGCATTATCATCATCCACATCCTGACAATCATCACACGAAGGATCACCATCATCATAAGTATATAATCATTTGAACCCTATGTATCACCATCAGCATCATCATCGTCGCCATCCTGAGAAGCGCAGCAGCAGCATCATCGTCATCATACTCGGCACCACCACCACCACCACCATTATCAGCATCATCATCAGCAGCAGCATCCACTTTGCCATCATCACTATCAGTATCATAAGCATCATCAGCATCATCATCAGCATCAGCACCGACTTTGCCATCATCATCATCATCAGCAGCAGCATCATCATCACCATCATCAGCATCATCATCATCATCAGCAGCTTCATCAGCATCAGCGTCATCATCACCAGCATCGTCGTCATCACCATCAGCAGCATCATCATCATCAGTAACATACGATCATCAGCAACAGCATCGTCGCCATCTGCATTGTCGTCATCATCATCATTATCACCATCGTCATCATCAGCATCATCATCATAATCACCATCATAGCAATCAACGGACTCATCATTACCACCACGTTCCATCATCATCATCATCATCATCATCATCACCATCATCATCATCATCATCATCATCATCATCATCATCATCGTCGTCACCGTCACCATCACCATCACCAGCATCATCATTATCATCATCACCATCACCATCATCCTCATCATCATCACCACCGTCATCACCACCACCATCACCATCACCATCATCCTCATCCTCATCCTCATCGCATCCCTCCCTCTCTCCCTCCCCCTTCCCCCTCCTCATCTCCCCCCCTGCCGATCTATCTCTTTCACGAAAGGGTATCGGGGGGGAGGAAGAATGAAGGGATGAGGAAAGGGGGACGAGGAGGGAGGAGGGGCGAGGTGGGGGGATATATGGAAGAGATAAGAGAAATAGTGGGGAGAAGGGAGGGTATGAGGAGCAAAAGGAGGAATCCAAGCAGCAAGAGCAGGAGGAGCAGGAGGGGCCCAAGAGGAGGAGGAGAGAAAAGCAGAAAAGAGGAGAAGCGGAAGGTGGCGGCAGAGCAGGAGCAGCAGGGAGGAAGACGGAGGGGGGGGGACGAAGGAAACGAGAGGAGAAAACGGACAAGAAGGGAGCAGGAAGGCGGGGCGAGGGAGTGGAGCAAGATGCGGCACAAACAGAATAAACGCTCGGAGGTCCGCGCGAGCTTCTTGGAGCTGAGCTGGAGCCCCCTCCCTGGCGCGCGGAGCTCGCCAAGGGGGGCCCAGGCGCCGACCCAAGAAACCCGAGCGGACCGCCGAAAGTGTATGTTTATGCCGTGTTTTTCGATAGGAAGGCGAGGCGACGAAGGCCAAAGAGTCTGAAAAACGCCCGAGGGGGGCCAACAGAAGAGACCTTTTTCGTTTCCCTGGCAGGCCGCCGCACCAGCCAGGGGCCAGCCGACAGGCCCCCCCCCTTTCTTGGCAAATCAACCATCGGACTCGGCACCGCGCTTCTCTGCACAGACGCGGTCAAAGCGCTCTCCAAAGGCCACGGTTCCGGGCTCAGTGAGCCCAAAAGCCTGAAAGCAGTCGGCCAACGAAGGGAACGCAGGGAACTCGGCCATCGAGGGGATATATATATATAAAAAATGTGCGTGCGTGACTGTATATACATATACATATACACATATACATATATATATATATATATGTACACATACATATATATATATATAAGTATATATATATATATATGTTATCCCTAGCGGCTACACGCTTACCCAGGGCTCAACTTAGGAGCGTGGTCGGTCGGAGTGGCGGTAGCCATCCAGAACATTCACAACTTCATTTTACTCGCACGGACGCCCGATCGCACGGGCGCTAAGTTCTGTAGCACTCCAGTCGGGAAAGTAAACTCAACAGAACTGAATCAGTTGACAAAGGCCGAGATCGAGAGACTCCACTCCCCTGAGAAGATTAATCAAAGAAGGAAAGCCTGCACGCATCGGCACCGACTGCGTCTGGAAAAGAAAAGGTGGGAGGATGGGGACGGACGCGGCGCGCTTGAGCATGTATGCCACGGGCGATGCAAGCATTCAATCGGGACGCTCCTCGCCTCTCTGGAAAACACAAGTCACAGACAAAAATTATCCCTAGCGGCTACACGCTTACCCAGGGCTCAACTTAGGAGCGTGGTCGGTCGGAGTGGCGGTAGCCATCCAGAACATTCACAACTTCATTTTACTCGCACGGACGCCCGATCGCACGGGCGCTAAGTTCTGTAGCACTCCAGTCGGGAAAGTAAACTCAACAGAACTGAATCAGTTGACAAAGGCCGAGATCGAGAGACTCCACTCCCATATCTGCCCATAAGGCATCTGGCGAAGCCGGCTTCAGCATTTTCTGAGAGCCCGAAGGAGCTTGACCGGAAACTCTCTCTCCGCAACCGAAGTCTTCCCTTGCTGCTCAGGTGACAACTTATGTACTTGCCGAAGGATTTTGCCGTGCTTCGAATATCTCACCACACTCTGCGCATGGGCCCACTGGCCCCGTTTCTGGATCTGATCAAGAGTCGCCAGACCCATATACATGTCATGCGAAGCCCCGGCATGCCGAACTCCGTGAGGAGAGATGTCCAGATCTGTGAGGCCCAAGTCAAAAGCGGCTTGACGAAAGAGGGCCTCATACTTGGAGAGAGTCAGATCGAACATGTAGGGGGCTGCACTGCCCACGCGGTACCAAAGGCCTACCGCCTCCGCCACCCAGGCTCGCTGCAGCTCACCGATCACCACTGCCCCATCCACGACCCCAGTCTTGGTGGGCGCTGCGTGCTCGGCCTCGCCCAGGAGCAGCGCCCAGGCCCGCGCGTAGCGCCGGCCAGCCCGGGGAGCAGGCGGCAGCACCGAGGACAGGAGGAGCGACACAGCTTCATCCGGCCTCAGGTAGCAGTCGAACTGCAGAGCCAGGCACACGGCGGCGGCGGTCAGGCCTTTGTCCAGGAAGTAGAGGCCGATCAGGCAGACGACGCCGAAGGGGATGGGATCTCGGACTCGCTGGGGAGCCCGAGTGGTCCACCCTCGAAGCGCCCTCGACGCCTTCGGGAAGAGGTTGGCCTTGTTCCGATCCAGGTGCGTCTCGAAGTGAATATAGCCGTAGAGGACGTTGCGGCCCTCGGCGGGACCAGACCCCTCGAAGTACAGGTCGGTGAAGTACTGCTCCATCGCCGAGTCCGTGGAGCTGAAGCTACCCAGGTCGTAGTGCCTCGACTTCGCCCAGCCTTTGAACCTGCCGAGCGCGTCTGAGTAGAGCCGCTTCGTGGAGTCACGGATGGTCCCGAGCCGCAGGAAGTCGTCGCGCGCCGCTGGCGGGACCCGCGCCCTGCGCGCCACCGCCAGCCGCTCCTTCTCCTCGCCGACAGCCGCACGGCCCTGCTGCCGCAGCGGCGGCCTCAGGGCCGCCTTGATGACCCCGCGCGCCGCCGAACTCGACGGCGTGGCGCGCGAGGAAGTCCTGCCCGCGGCTCTCGGCGTCAGCCCCGCCGTGAGCCTCCCCGAGTTTCGCTGCAGCACCATGCGACCGCGGCACCAGCGCCTCCAGCTCCGCGTCCCACTCGGAGGCGAGCGGCTCGGAGTCGCCGAAGGCCTGAGGAGGCGCCGCCGAGCATAGCGCGGCAGCCCACTCTCGGCAGAGGGCGGGCGAGTAGGCTCCAGCCTTGAGCCCACCCTGCAGAGGCTCATGGCGGTGTGACCCATCACATCTTCTCCCCAGGATGTCCAGACAGATGGCATTGGTGAAGATGGTGGTCGGTTTGCGAACATTTTCTCCGAATCCACAAAGATCGAACGAGACGTATCTCGTAAATCTGGCAGACTGGCAAGGTCAGCAAGGGGCTCGAAGCGAAACAACTTCGAGCTGGCAGGATTCTCCAGCGACCACAGTACGCCACAGCGGTCACACTCTTTGATGACCTCCGCTGTGAAGAGCGCCATGTCGACAGACACTGCCTCCAACCGCCGCGCCCGCTCGATGTTATAAGGCGTGGAGCGGGCGACTGACCAGGCGGAGCATGCTGTCCCCAGATGTACGTACCAGAGCTTCCCACTCCGAATCCAACGCAGCACAGCTCGCTGCGTCGTGCGACGTGACAAGTCATATCGGGCGGAGCGCCTGATCTCGGCGCCTGGCAGGACTCGCAGCCCCAAGCGCCGGAGAGAGGCGGTGAGCCGGCCTGAGCCCGAGAAGAGCTCGAGCGAGGCTTGGACCGCCTGGGGCGCGCCATGATGTCGAGGCGCGCCCAGGCGGCGGCCTCCCCTCCGCAGAGAGGCCGCGGGCGCCCCGCCCTCAAGTCTCGTGGGTACCAGCACTCGCGGGGCTCGGGGACGACGGGAGCCCTCGTCCGCGTGGTTCCTGTCCGCGCGGATGTGGCGGACCCGCCATGCCACACAGCCGGCAACCTGATAGGCCGCGGCTCGGCGGCACAGCGCATTGAGCGCCCAGCTCGACGAGCGGCCGCGGTCGAACACCACGGCGGACACGAGGTTGTCCGACAGGGTGAGCAGCCGGCGGTGGCAGCCCCGTCTGGTCCGCAAGCTACGTCGGAGACCCATGAGACAGACCCTAGCCTCCTTGACGTTGATGTGTTCCTGCTTCCAGTGCCAGAAGCCCTCCACCAGCGTACGCCAGCGCCGCCTATTGTCCCAGCAGGCGCCGACCACGGGGATGGCCTCGAAAACCTCCACCTCCTCCCGCAGCGCGGCCCCTCGGGCCGATCGCCGACGTCTGCACCGCTTGGGATCGGCCCCGACCTCGGCTGCGCGGGCTGCCTCGACGGCCCACTTCGCCAGGCGCGTCCGAGCCCCCAGCGGCTCCCAGGCGGTCCTCCCCACGACGTGGGGCTCCCCGAACGCCTCCAGCTGCTCGGGTTCGTCGCCGTCAAAGCAGACCCCGAAAGCCGCCCCCAACGCCTCCAAGGTCGGGTGCGGCGGCGGAGGCAGCGGCGGCGCGGCCTTGAACCTCCAGCGCTCCCTCCACTTGAAGTCCTCCAGCAGCTCGTCGCCTGTGCCCTTCGTCTCCATGAGAGCGTAGCCGTAGCCCGACGAGTCGCCGAGGTAGACCGACGAGTTGAACGGCGCGTCCAGCTCCACCTCGCAGGTGAAGACCAGGTTGGACATGAGCCAGAGCTCACGCCGAACGCCTCGCCACAAGCGGCCTGACCTCTCCTTGTGAGCCGCGACGTAGGCGTAGCTCTGGGACAGGATAGACAGAAGGGGCCGGCAGAGGCCGCACATGTGAACGGCGTGGCCCAGCCAGATCTCGAGCTGCCATCCTGCCACCACACGGCGGCGAAGCAGGGCTGCAGTCGCCAGCTTGAAGCGCCAGAGGCGGGCCGATCGATGCCGCAGGCGGCGGCCCGGCCCGTCAAACTGCAGCCCGAGAGCCTCGAGATAGGGGCTGCAGGGGACCTCATCGTGGAGATCGAGGCCGAAGGCGGCACACTGCGCGCGGAAGTCCTGGTGGGCCTGCTCTGCGTCCATGGCGCTGTGCCCCAGCCCTGTGTGGCTGTCCACGTACACGGCGTGGACGGGCCGCCCAGGGACCAGGCGGGGGGCCGGAGCGCGCTCTCGGAGCAAGCCACCCCAACCATCAGCAGCCACAGCCGCCGCGCGAGAAGCCACCGCCTCGTTGCAGAAGTAGAGGGCCCACGACCATCCCATGGGCATGGCCCCCATGCAGAGGTAGAAGGACTCGTGCGTGGCCAGCTCCACGTCCACGCCCAGCTCGGGGTCGAACACCTTGGTGATGCCAAAACTCCCCTTGCTGAACGACTCGTCGATACCGAACCAGTCGGCCACCTCGACGATGCTGAACTGGTAGAAGCCGTCGCGCACGTCAGCGCCACTCTGGTGGAAGTCCAAAGCTGGGACACCCCCAGCACCAGGCAGAACACAATGAGTCGCCATCTCCGCCGCCACGTCCGTGAACTCGGCCAGGTTGAGCTCCGCGAAGGACTGCGCGGTCCCCAGCTGCGTGGTGGGCGGCGGCTTGTGGCAGGCATTCGGGTATCGGGCGTCCACGATGAGGCGAATGGCCCCCTCCTTCTTCTTGACAAAGAAGAGCCCGATGCGGCCCTTGAGCCGCCTCCTGGGCACCAGGATGCCCGAGGAGAGGAGGCGCTCGAAGAGCTCGTGCCGGGCTCGCTTGTTGCGCCGCAGCACGGGGTCCCAGTAGGGCTTGGGCGAGGGCTCGGAGGCGAACTTGGCCTCGATCTCCTCGGCGGACAGCTCGATGCACGTCTTGTAGCGTCGGAGCCTCTGCGCTGCATGAGGTGGTAGCAGCGCTCTCGCATCCTTGGGTTCCACCACTCCCTTGGCCACTCGCAGCTTGGCTGGATCATAACTGGCAAGGTGACGTGGCTCTTGACCGTACAGGTCCTTCGTCTTGAAGAGCTCCCGGAGGGCTCTGCTTGGAGCGAGGCCTTCGGGGACCAGGCCTGCACGCCCCACCCGATCCTCGAGACTCGCCAACATCTCCCGCTGGACTGCTGTAGGAGCTGAGCTCGCCAGCGGAGATCGTCGAAAGTGCGAATTGTTAGCTTGAGCGGCCGAAAGTTGGTTGACACCGAGTACTGTATCTCTAACAAGCCTTTGCCGCGTCGTGGAGCGCCACCACCTCTGCTGCACATAGTGAGGGGCTCCACGTGGGCACTGCCGAACGTCGGGCACAGGAAGAGGAAAGGGTCCTCCGTGCCTCCACTCCCCGCCAGGCCACCAGTCGGCTTTGGTGACCCGCGGGCTGTCGGGCGCCATCTAGCTCGGCAGAGGGGCCTCGGCTCCTTGGCCGCCAGCCCCCCTGCCTTTGCCTTTTGCATCGCCGCCCTTTGGCCCCTTCGGGCCGCGCCTCCTGTCCCGCTCGTTCCTGGTCTCCTCCTTGTACAACCTCGACTGCTTGAGGATGTTCGCCCTCTCCTTCTGACGGTCAGACACCCAGGTGCGGAACCTCGGCGCTCGTGCAGCACCGTCGGTCCCCACAGCGCCGTCAGCAATGACTCCGAGCCCACTGAAGTCGGGATCCCGGGGGTCTCGCGCCACCGCCATCTCCAGCATGACGACCCGCCTCGCGAGAAGCTCGAACGAGGCCAGGTTGCTGATGTCGACCTGGTCGGTGCTGGTGGCCACACGCAACATCTCCATGGCGTTCTTGTGCTCATAGGCGATGGCGCTATTCTGGTTGACCCCCGACAGCCTGATCCACTCGGCGTGGTACGAAGTCGGGTTCCCTGCTCCTTCTCGAATCGAGGCGGCCAGCTCTTTGCACACTCGTGGCCCCTCGAACTTCCACTCCGGCATGTCACTCTCGCGCAGCATGCCGACGGCGTCCGTCCACCCGAGATGACGTGTGCCGTCCGCTGCTGTGTGGACGCCCAGACTCCTGATGTCCTCAGCGCCGACACGACGCTGCTCAGACCACTCGCCCAGTCGAGCACGTCCAACCTTCTCGACCCCCCGAGCGGTACCTTCACGGCGCACCAGGCCGCGATTGCCCAGCTCCACGAACTCGTCCCCCTCGAGGACATCGGCGGCGACGAGCGTCCCGAACGCTGGGTCCTCGAGGTCAGCATAGACCCATTCCTCAGCGTCCATGGCCTCGTCCTCGTCCCCGCCGAGCACGGCCGCCTGAAGTCGAGCACGTCTCTTGTGCCCAGCGACCGCCTCGCGTCCGATCGGGTCGAAGGCGTAGAGGTCCCCAGCGATGGCATCTGGAAAAACCTGCCCTCGCTCGAGCACCCGATGCCGACGCTCGTCCAGATTGATCCTCTCGAGATCGAGATCTGGAGTGAGCGTGATCCACACAGCGTCTCGCACACGTCGCAACAAGATACGATGATGCCAAGTAAAATTAGGATCATCATCGAAGCGAACGGCGACTTGGAACTCAGGAATGTCCGGGCACCGTGGCACTGCAGCCATGCCTTGACGAAGGTGTCACTGGCCCCGTCGACGGTCCAGTCGTCAGCGCCAGGGTGGTCGGCGCTGCCGTCGAAGTGGCTGCCCCTGGGGCCGCGGCGGCCCGTGGCGCCGCTGAGGACGCCGATGCCGCTCCGCCTGGAGCACGTCGTAGGCGAGGCGAGACGGCCAGCCCGACGGCCACGCCCGCTGCGAAGACCACCAGCAGCGGCCAGCCAGGCCCTGCGGCCGTTGGCTCGGGAGCCCGAGCCTCGCAAGGCACTGCCGCCTGCCCAGGCGAGCCGCACGACAGCGAGCCGCACTCCACGTGCGGGCAGACCAGCGACGGGCACGGAGGGCAAGATTGCAGGCTGCTGCTGAGATGCAGGGAAAGGTGAGAGAGCTCTCGAAGGACCCCGCCGAGCTGAAGCAGGTCCATACGCGCTTGAGCATGTATGCCACGGGCGATGCAAGCATTCAATCGGGACGCTCCTCGCCTCTCTGGAAAACACAAGTCACAGACAAAAATATGTGTGTATGGTTGCTGGGCCCCTGGGGCCTTCTCGAACCCACCTACAAGCTCCCGAACCTCGGCCCCAGGAGTCCTCCAGGGGCTAAGCTTAAGTGGTTTGTTGGAGTGTTTCCCCTTTTCACAACAGCTCTTGAGTTATTCCTGCCAGGGTCCACTAGGGCATGACGGGAACTGATACAAGCCTTGCGGAACCCTCTGGAGCCCTGCGAGACAGTAGCATAGCCAAGGACTGGCGGCTGGCCAACTGCCGGCACCTCAAACACGAGCAACATGTGCCCGCGGGCCGCCCACGGGGACTGCTCATGATCCGTGGCCATCGAGGCCAAATCTGGACCCAGAGGCTCGCAACTGACGCCCGAGGAGGAAGAGGGGCACTCAGGAGGGGGAGCAGGAGCAGCAGCAGGATCACAACCTCCGCCCTCCCTCCGCCTGAACTCCTCCATGGCCTCTTCGAGCTCAGCATCGCCTTCCAGCGACGCCTTGGTGAGCCCCTGAAGCCCAAGATTGTTACTTTTGCCATGGCCCGCATAGTGGGCCCCCGCTCGGCTGATGAACTTCAACAAAGACCGCGCCAAGACCAGCATCCCTCTAGCCATGAGCCCCACGGCGCGGCCTCGTCTTGCCAATCGAGCCCGTTGTTCGGCAAGACGGTCGGCCTCTGACTTGCCCTGGTGCTCAAACAGGGTGATGCGCCTTCTCGGACATCTGGCATGTCCGTGTGAGCAGCAACTTTTCTGAAACCCACTCCTGGCGGTTATCCCTCGTCGAACGCACGTCACCACACATGAGCCCGAATGTTGGGCGATCAAGCGGCGAACGCGGGGGGCACCAACACTGGCGAGTGCCTTCACAATCAGAATAAAGTGTGGAAGCGCCTATGCTGTGTCGCAGTGCCAGCTGAACAGCGATGTCCCCGTCCTCTCGGGCCACGCGGCCGGGCCCTACGGTCGGGGGAACAGCTCCATGCCACCCACCAACGTCGTGGAGTTCTGTGTCATGAACCGCAAGCCACCAACCCGCAACTCGAAAAGACAAAAGAAAAGGCCATCCATCCCCGACCCGCCCCCCCCCCCCCCCCCCCAGACAAACACAACAACAAAAAAACATGGCCCTCCTCCAGGGCCAGAGGCGCCCCTTGCAGTTCAACCTGGAACTCCCACGCTGGGCCCCAAACGGGCCTGGCAAAGGCTTGGCGCGGGCCAGGGAGAATGCCTCGCGCGAGGTTCTCCTTCTGTAGGTTTATCGGGCAGCTCGACAGCCTAGCGACTGGTCGCCCAAGTTCGTCAGGCGGGGGGGAGTCCCGTCGCCGCCCCTGACGCGCTGGGCACTCGAAGCGACGATGGAACAGCCTGCCCTTTTCCTCCCCACAGAGAAGGCAGTGGCTGGGCAGCATCGGATCGTGCTCGCGCAAACGCTGTCGAGACCAGTGCAAGCCTATGACCATCCCCCGCAGCACACGCTGCCCCCTCGCACCCAGCGCCGCGTCCGACACCCGCCCTCTCGGTCATGGCGCGCGCGCGCAGCAATCTATTCAGCGGCCAACAGAAGATCGACCCTCGCCAACCTTTGCCTTGACCAATCTTGGCCATGCCTTCGAGATCCGAAAACCCGCGCGCCGCGAACTGCGCCCTGCGCGCCACGAAAACTGGCGAGACTCAGCGAAGGCCCCACTGCTCGCCAGCGGCTTCGCGGAAGGCCCACGGGTCGCCAAAAAGGATGCCTGCACGGGCGCGCGCGAGGACGAGGGCCGCAACGGGGCCCCTGACCCTCGCCCAAGCAGCGGCCACCTGGAGGAGGCCCTCACCCTCGCCTCGCCAAAAGAGCCACTCGAGGACTGCAGGGACGAGGCGCCGACCCTGCAAAACGCTGCAAAAGCGTTCGGGGCGCGCCAGAAATAGCCAGCGCTAGCGGGCCCTGAGACCACCCACCTCCGGAGCACATGGAAGCCAATTCAAGCGAGCACCCCTTCGGGAGGCGGCCTTCCGCGCGCAGCGCCAAGATGGGGGCCCCCCCGAGCTCGCCGGCGGGAAGCCCGCGCACGCCGGCGCCCAGCGGGGGCCCCGAGGCAAGCCCAGCCCTGATAATATCACCACATGGGGCCCCTGCCTGCCTCAAGGCAAGGACCCTGCCAATTTTTTGGCCGCGCATCACAGGAACGCCCGCGCTGAGCGCTGGCCCTTCTGCGGGCCCCATCAATCGCGCCCCCTCCAAGGTCGCGGCGAACTCGGCAGCGCGCCGGCGCCGGCAGGCTGGAGCTCTCGAATAAGAAATGGGTGGGGGCAGGCGATGGCGAGAGGAGCCCCAGCTTGTCCTGGGCCACTGGAAGACCCACGCACGAACTGCGGGGGGGCCACAGCGTTGCGAGGGCCGTAGCTCCTGAGCAGCCAGCGAGGACTGCGCCGTTTGGCTCCGGCACCCGCCGATGGCCCCCTGCCGCGAAACGCGGCGCGCGGACCGCGATGCGCGCAGCAGTGCGCTCGCAGCAGCGCAAGGGGAAAGTCGCTCAACCTCGCCGCCTGGGGCATCTTAAAGTGCGACGCGCGCCCATAAAACTTCCGAAGGACAACTAAGAAAGCGCCTGAACTGAGGCCTGGGGCCCCCCACGCGTAGGGGGCCAACGCACCGCGCACCCACGCGCTCTCTTCGCGGGCCGCGCTGGAGCACATACCACAAGAAAACTTGCCATCTACCTCGCGCCCCCAGCGCGCGCTGAGTCGGCGGCGAATGACGCCCCGCACTCGGGCCCACGGAGGGTGGAGGCCCAAGGGCCCCACCCCCCCGCGGGTTCGTCGAAAAACACCGCCGCGAAGACGAGCCAGAGGGGGCCCATCACGGGACCCCGATCCAAAGACATGAGGACGGCCGCAAAGGCCTCCACCAAGGGCCTGGGGAGCGGTAACAACAGCCGAAGGCTGAACGAGCCCCGTCCGAGCGCCGCGGAGGGGCCAAAAGAAACAGCCGCCTCCAAGACCTGCTCCGCAGCAGTGGGCGGCAGGTCCTCCACGACCTGCCAATCCAAGGGCGCCATTTCCGGGGGCCGGGGGGCTCAGACCACTTCGGTGCCCAGTCGTTGAGCAACCTGTCGAGGGCAGCTTGTTCCACTAGAGGCCTCCAGGCCTCCCAGGCGCCCTCGGCCGCCGCCGGGGCGGGCGAAGGGGCCCCGGCACGCCAAACACAGGCAAACGAGGAGGAGCAGGACCTCCCGAACGCCCGCGGGCCACGCGGCCTCCACGAGCGACCGACATCTGAGCCCGCGACCTCCGCTTTTGGCGGCCATCTGCCAACTCCCGCTGGATTTTGCGACCCACTACAGCCTGGGCCCATTCGGCCAGAGCGCCGCGCCCGCGGCCGCCCAGCCCCGCACAAGAGAGGAGAGCGCCGCATGTGCTTGCAGAGTCGAAGGCCCCGCGGCCTGGAAAAAAATCTTGCTGCCGCACTGCTTCCTGCAGGATAAGCTCGCGGCGATCTGGCGACCGCGTCTTCATGCGCTGGATGGCAAGGCGTCGAATCGACCGCCATCTCCGCGCAGTCACATTCGCTTCGCGGTGGGGCCCTCGCCCCCGCAGAGCCTGCAACGGCACGAGCTGCGCTGGGCAGCCCGTGACTCGGCCGAAATGATTCGAAGTGGACACGCCGTGACCTTCACCTAATACTGATTCTGCCACCTGGAACCAAGCGTCCATCGCCTCCTGGGGCCGGGGGCCTGCGAGCGCGAGCCCCCCCGAGGCCCCCGGCGAACCGCGCGTTAGCGCTCGTCGCCATTGCGAGGGGGGGGGGAAGCAGCCGGCACAACGAGTTGCCACACCTTGGCTTGACCAGCCACATGCTCCAGCTTCAACACCACCGCTGAGCGCGGGCCCACGGGAGTGTCTAACTGCTCCCCAGCAATCGACAACACGTTGGTCAAAACACCTGCCGGCCTCAAGGAAGGCGCAACAGCGCTGGCTGCGCGCGCCGCCCGCCGGGCGAAGGATCAAGGCACCCAGATGCTCAGCCCACCGGGGCGCCCGAAGGTCCTCGGCGCCAATGCCCCAGCCCCGCAACCTGCCACCGCGACACGCTTGCTGACTTGCCCCAGAAACTTTAGGCTGGCCCTTGCGAGCCCCAGCGACGTGCGACCATAGACTGACACGTGGACCACGGCCTCGGCAGCCACGATGCTCTCCGAGACATCGGGGTGGCAGAAATCAAAGCATCCAAAGGTCGCCTTCGCCAGCGCCGCCGTCATTCCTGACGTCTCTCCGTCGCCTTCCCGAGCGCCGGCCGCCTCGGCGAAAGCTGGCGAGAACCCCCGTTGACGCGCCCGGGCCCTGGCAATCGAAGGTCCGATGCCCCTGTCGAAGGTCTGCCCTCGGATGGGTCCCCAGAGACCGACGCGGGCCCCGAATCCGCGACCCGTCGGCAACCAGCCAACTGGTTAAGGAAAACAACCAGAAGCCGCCCCAACGCGCCCCAGTTATGCCCAGCAAAAGCATTCCAGACGACACGAGTCAGCGGGCGCGAAGCTCTGACGGCTGCAAACGTTTCGCCCCCCTGCTTCGCGACAAGCCTCGGCGGCAGCCTGTTCTTGCTCGCCTGGGCCTTCGCGCCTGTGAGTCCAGCGCGCCCTGGGACCGCGCCTGCAGACCATCGCCCTTCGCAGCTCTGAGCTATCGGGCCCCCGATAAAAACCTGGCCACGTACTCGACGCACCAACGTTGCCATGACTCCTCGCCCTGCGGAGCCTCTTGCTCGAGGTCCCACATCCATCTGGAGTTCCAGCTGGACATGGCTCGCAAAAATGACTCCGGACGCGGCCAGGACCCCCGGCATGCAGGACCCCCAGCGGCCGCTCAGGGCCGCGACCTCCCTGCTGCAACGGGGCTGCCAGTGGGGCACTTGCCCCCGCTGCGGCTGCCCCCCCCGCGCTGGCGGCTGCCCCTGCGCTAGAAGCGGCAAGGGGGGCAGCAGGAGGGGCCGCAGCGGTTGGAGGCGCCCCCCCCCCCCGCGGCTGGAGATGGACTCGGCATCCTCCTTGCGGGCTCGCTCGGGTGCCCGCCGCCGTCGCATCGCTCGAGCCCCCTTGCGCATCCTCTGCATGCTCTCCGCGCTGGGCCCAGTGGCCGCGAGGATGGCCTTCTCGAGCTCCTTGGTCATGGCCCCTTGCTCCAACCACTCGGCCTTGTCCGCGCCCTCCACGTCCGGGACACTTAGATCGAGGAGGTCGCCGACGTCTGCCAGCAGATGGGAAAGGTTGATCTGCGACCCCGTCGGCGCGTGCACTGCCGACCCAGCTGGCGCCATGGGCCCCCGGGCGGCCGACCCACGGGCGCGGCACAGCTCAATCTTGAGCTCGGCCTCCCATTCCGCTTTGGTCTGCGCCGCCGCGACCGCCGCCACAGCCGTCGTCTTGTCGCTGCCGTCCTCCCGCCATCGCCTGGCCTCGTCCTCTTGCTGCACCGCCGCCTCCAGCGCCCTCTCCGCGCGCCTGCAGGCCACGCACTTGGCGCTGCCGGTCTCCTCCAGGAGTGGCTACCGTGACTGAATTAGGGAGAAAACAAACCTACCTCGCTTTTGACCACCCTCGCTTCCAAGAGATACCAAACGATGCCAAACTACGGCCTGTACTGGTCAGGCCGCTTGACGAGGAGGCGCGTGGTATGCCGTGGTTTTGTCTGGAAGCGAAAGCGGGGTAGGTAATTCACGCTCTGATGAATGGCGGGCTCGGGAGCGACCGCCTGCACCAGCGCCTGGAACTCCTGGGCCCCCGCCGCCTTGCCGGCCTGCTGCTGGCGCCGGGCCAAGAGCCACCTGGCGGGGAGCGTGCCTGCACCTCGCTGCGGCGGGGTCGACGCCTTGGGCGGCTCGACGCGACTGGGCGGGTCGCCACACTGCCACTTCCCAGGCGGCCCCATTGGGGGCGGCAGCACTTCCTTGGGCCCAGACTCCTTCACCTTCACGCAACGGCGGCTGCGTCGCGCGCACCGGCGCCGTCCCGCACGAAAAACAAGACGTCTTGGACTTCCACTTCTTCCATCGGTATCGACAGCTAGTGCACGAGAGATAGCCCTTGCCGGCATCCTTGCCCATGGGCTCCGACAGGAGCTCACCGAAACAGCCGTGCTTGCAAGATACGTTACGGGGAGTAGCCCAAGAGGGCTTCGTGAAATGAGTGCGCTGAGCGCGGTTCAGGGATCGCTGGTGGGGGCGCACCTCCCCCTTGCCACAGGTCAAATCGCTGAGCCTCCCGCTACGGACTCGAGCCAAAATGGCCACGGAAAGAGGGAGAACTAGTAGGAGGAGGAAGAAGAGGTGGAAGACTATCTACGCTGTGCGATACAGCACACAGGCTAAAGCTCCACCACAAGGGGCCGGTGTCGTGCGGGCCCCCACTCCGTCAGCAGCTGCCGGTCCAGAAAACTTACCCGAGCCAGGGCATCCGTCCCTACGCAGGAAGAGAAGGAGGAGGAGCAGGAGGAGGAGGAGGAGGAGAAGGAGGAGAAAGAAGGACCAGTGCAAACCCAAGATTCATCAACGGTGTTGCAATAGATCCTCCTTCCAAGCTCCCTCTGCTCAGGTCCCTACAAGAGATCATGCTCGTTGAGGAAAGTGCCCCTTTGGAAGACGAGGAACTCCCCTGGTCTCCACGGAGGAGGAAGAGGAGAAGGAAGACGACGAATAGAATAACCAAAATAACGGCACAAACACAAACTTTCGATGATCCGCGCAAATATTTCTTGGATCGGCGCTGGAGGCGCCGCCAGGGAGTCCCAGCGCAAGTCCAAGAAATCCGCGCGGGCCGCTGAAAGTGTATGAGTATTCGGGTTGTCTGTTCTTCGACGGAAAGAGGAGGAGTAGCTCCCCCAGATCTCCGCCCCTCCCCCTTCCTCCCTCATTACCTCCATCTCCCCTCCCTTTCTGGCTTTCCTCGTCCTTCATCCCGCACCCCCAATCTCCCTACAGTCGAGGTACTACCAGGAGGAACGCTAAATCAGGAACGAAGCCCCTTTTTGGCCAACAGCGCCTGGGTGCACGAGGAGGGCAAGAGGAACAACCACGGAATGACCTAAGGAACAACGAGCCCCTTCCGAACTCAAAGCGGGCCGTTGCCGGAGAGCGCCGGGAAACCCGACCAGCTGCTACTCTGGATGGGACAATGATAACAACCCCCCTTGGATCTGCTGAGGGGGTGGACACGTGCTGTCGGAACTGGGTGAGGGGGGTTGGAAGAAGAAGAGGAGGACCAGTGCAACCCAAGACTCATCAACGATGTTGGAATCAACCCTCCATCCGAGCTCCCTCTTCATAGGCCCCTACAAGGTTTCAGTGCCACTCAAGAAAGTGCCCCGTTGGGAGACAACCGTTGGAAGATCCTGAAGCGTGCCAAAACACCGTTCTCGGAACTTCAACGCCAAATTCCGCTCCTGGGATTCATCACCGCGAATCAACGTAGCTGTTGCGCCCTGGCAGTCCTGAACACCATGTCTGGTACGTGAACTATGGCAATCCGCGAAAATCCTACAATTTCTCAAAACTAATACGCGCGGCGCTAAGGCGAGAACCACATGTTGAAAAACAAACCGCCCTCAATCCGCGAAACTCTTACAATGTTTCAAACGAATTTGCTGCGGCGCAACAACTATAACCACACTTTAAAAACGACCCGCCATCAATCAGTGAGGCTCGTGCAATTGTTTAACGAATGCGCGCGGCGCTCAAGCGAGAACCACATATTGAAAACAACCCGCCCTCAATCCGTGACACTCTTGCAAATGTTTTAAACGATTGCGCGCGGCACTGAGGCGAGAACCACAATTGAAAAACAGCCCGCCCTCCATCCGTGAAACTGTTGCCAATTTAAAGTTTCAGGATCAATGATGAGGGTGTCTCAGACGAAACGCCCAGCCCGCCCTTCCGACTGGCCTCGGGGTGCGACAGGGAGGAGATAAGGAAAAGGAATGGAGGAGGAGGAGGAGGAGGAGGAGGAGGAGGAGCAGGAGGAGCAGGAGAAGCAGGAGGATGGGCGGGGGGGCGATGGGCAAGCTCAGTCGGAAGGTCCATCACCCCCCCTCAATGAACACCCAGTGCAGCACACCCTCGCCCCCGGGTCTCCTGGGCCCCGGGTCCTGGGCTTCGGCTTCGGGCCCTGGGCCCCGGGTCCTGACTCCCGGGCCCTGGGCTTCGGCTCTGCCCCGGCTGCAGCCGCAGCCCCAGAGGAGGAGGAGGAGGAGGAGGAGGAGGAGGAGAAGGAGGAGGGCACGAAGCTCGGCGAGCAGGAGGAGGAGGAGGAGGACGAGGAGGAGGAGGAGGAGGAGGGGAGGAGGACGAGGACGAGCGAGCGAGCGAGCGAGCGAGCGAGCAGCCGCGCGCGCGCGCGCGCGCGCGCGCGGGCGCCCCGCCCCGTGCGGCCCGCGCCGCAGCGGGCGGCGCGGGCGCGCGCGCCGCCGCTACCTCGCCACGGCGCCCGGCGCCTGTGCGCCCTGCGCCGGCTCGGCGCGCGAGTGCCCGAAGCCCCGGGCGCGCGAGCGCTCGGGGCTCCAGACGGCCGTGCCCGGCTGGGCGCGCCCGCCACTGGCGTCATCCATCCTGGGCGGGGAGGGGGTCGCTCGAGTCGGAGAGGAGCCCGCATCCAGAAGAGTCCCTCGAGAGCAGCGGGACGGCCCGTACAGCGCCACGCCGCGCTGCAGCATCGCAGCGCCTGCCCCGAAGAACGCTGCGCAGGGATCCCAGCCATGCTTCTGAGAGCCCACCATGGGGGGGCGCTCTGAGGGACAACGACAGGGGGGGGACCAGCTCAGGGGGGGAGCATCGAGCTGGAACCGGCGATTCATCGCCGAGGGATCGGCGACAGGCCCCCGACAGAGGAACAGGACGTTCCCGGGCGGGGTGGGCTATCTGTCACCTGACGGCGACGAGTACGCGATTGGGGGCCGATGCACTCCCCCTGTCGTTGCCCCTGAGCGGGAGCGGGGGGCGGACGTCGCAATCGCGGGAGCGACGGCGGCGACGTCGGCGTCGGCGACGACGTCGGCGGCGACGACGACGGCGGCGGCAACGACGACGACGATGACGAAGACGACGACAATGACGAAGGCGGCGACGTTGACGGACGGGATGCCGGCGCGGCCGCTGGCGACCTCTGCCTCGGATGCGGGGAGGGGCAGGGGGTGTCATCCCCAAAGGAACAGCGTCAGATTGGCCACCCGGCGAGTCATTCCCCTGGCAGGATCACTTCACGTGGGGCGCGATCAGAAGGGGTGGCGCTGGTACGCCACGGCCAGGTCATCGACGATGACGGCGTCGACGGCGTCATTGTGGAGGTTTGGGGAGGCGTTTCTGGAGGTCCACGTCGCCACGGCTGAACGCAGCTCAGGAGAGGTGCAGGGGCCCGTCGTGAGCGGAAGATCTGGGCCTCCTGAATTTCGAAACGATCGAGGCCGTGGATTCCCTCGCCGTTTCCGGGGTCTGGGGATGGTGAGTCTCGGGGCCCAGCAACGTCAAAAACCATCCTGAATGAAAGACTGTTCCACGGGAAAGGACTCGAGAGACTCGAGAGGAATGTGGGCCCACGTACGAGCTCGCGCAGCGCGAAGCCGTCGTGCAGCAAAAGCTTCCCCCTTCCTCCTCCTGCGACGTCGTTCCTCCGTCCCCCCCTCGCCTCGCATCTCTCCTCCCAACTCCCCTCCTCCCCGCTCCTCCCTGCTCCCTGCCTCATCCTCCCTACCACCCGTCCACCCTCAACCGTCCTCCATCCTCTTCCCTCCCACCCACCTTCCCCTCCCTCCATCCTTTCTGCACCGTCCTCTCGCATCTCTCATCTATCCTCCAACCTCCTCTCTCCTCCTCCTCCTCCTCCTCCTCCTCCTCCTCCTCCTCCTCCTCCTCCTCCTCCTCCTCCTTCCTCCTCCTCCTCCTCCTCCTCCTCCTCCTCCTCCTCCTCCTCCTCCTCCTCCTCCTCCCTCTTACTCCTCCTCCTCCTCCTCCTTTTCCTCTCCTCCTCCTCCTCCGCCGCCTCCTCCGCCGCCTCCTCCCCCTCCTCCTCCTCCACATCCGCTTCCGTCACCTCCTCCTCATCCTCTTTTTCTGCCTCCTCCCCCTCCTCCCTTGTCTGTGCTCTCTGCTCCCTCCTCCTCCGGCTCCCCCTCCTCCTCCTTTCCTCCTTCTCCTCCCCTCCTTACACCGCCAGCCCTCCTAGTCCCCCCTCCGCTTTCCACGCGTGGCGTCACGAACTCACTCCTCGTCACTCATGTTGTTCTTTCTCGGTCACCACCACATATCCTCCGTCTGCTGACACGACGCATCTCTCCTCATCCTCCCCATCATCGTCATCAACGACAACAGCAACAAAACAACAAAAAACAACAATAACAACAACAATCATCATGTTACGCTTATGCGCGATGCTTCCACACGGAGCATGCGACCATCATGATAACCATCCCCAACATGGGGGACTATTGTTCTATAGCGGGGTCTGTTATTCCGTTATTATCATTCCCAGATCTCCCGCCAAATGAGGTCTTGCAAACACCACCTCCGACGAATTTCAACAGATCCCGCCTCGAAAACGCATGCCCGCGCTTTGCTGCGCCGATGCGAGACCGCCAGTGGAGCCCCAGCCAACGAAGCATCGAGCGACAGGATTTCCTTGGTGGGGATGGGAGCTGTCGGCGGCGAGGCAAGGACCTGGCCCTGAAATAGAAAGGGAGGAAGTCTCGAGCAGGGCTGCTGTTGTTGCTGGGAGCGGAGCCAATGCTGAAGAGAGTAGGGCGCTAGCCCAACGTAAAACAAAACGAAGTCTCGAGCGGGAGCGCTGGCTGGTTTTGTTGGGACGGCGGTTGTCGGCGGCGAGGAGGAACACCGCCTTGAGTAAAAAGGGAGGAAGTCTCGAGCGGGAGCCGTGGTTTTGTGGGGACGGGGGCTGTCGGCGGCGAAGAGCAGCACCGTCCTGAGGAAAAAGAGAGGAAACCTCGAGCGGGAGCGTTGTTCTTGCTGGGAGCGGCGCCAATTCAGAAGAGAGTAGGGCGCCAGTCCAGCGTAAAACGGGAGGAAGTCTCGGGCGGGAGCGCTTGTTTTGTCGGGACGGCGGTTTTCGGCGGCGAGGCGGAGCATCGCCTTGAGTAAAAAAGGAAGGAAGTCTCGAGCGGGAGCGTTGTTGTTGTTGGGGGCGGCGCCGATGAGAGAAAGAGTAGCGCGCCAGTCCAAGGTAAAACGGGAGAATCTCGAGCGGTAGCGCTGGTTTTATTGGGACGGCGGCTTTCGGCGGCGAGCAAGAGCACCAGCCAAGAGCAAACAAGGAGGAAGTCTCGAGCGGGAGCGTTGTTGTTGTTGTTGGGGTGTCGGTGTTGGCGCCCCCCCAAACCGCTCGAGCGTGAGCCTCATTTTCAATGAAAATGTAGGCGGCGCCAAGGCGAGAGCGCCAACGCGCCTGGGGGGGTCCAACATTAATAGTTGCCCAGTAATTAACACTCAACAACAAGAACAGCAGCAGCAGCAGTGGTCAACAACAACAACAGCAGCAGCAGCAAACGACAACAGCAACAACAACAACAATCACAACAACAACAACAACATCAACAACAATCATTTTACCCGAACGCTCAGTGTTCTCCCCAGTGCCAGGGTTTTCTTGCGACACCAGCCAATACCCCCACTTCGTGGGGGGGCCGTTCAAGCTCTACCAAATATCCAAACGACTCTTCGAGACCACCCACACCCAGCTTCCCGCCCTATGACGTTGGGACACTTCACTTCGTGGCGTGCGGACGACCCTGGCTACTACACTGGCGTGGGGTACACACCCACAGAGGTTGATCACATCTGTTACATATGATGTGGTACACGGTACACGTGAGATGGTACGCAGTGCCAAGATAGTTGGTCACATTTTTGGGGCAAATTCGTGGGGATGCGATTACAGAAGTACATGTGTTACACTGATGTTATACAGTCCCAAGGATGACGCATGCATTGCTCATAGACTCATGGCGCTATGATCCTAACTCTCAGTGCCCAACGCGCGCGTGCACAGCCAGACGGAGGGAGAGAAACACATGTATACAAGGTTCGTGACATACGCACGGTCCACCATGTTGTAAACGATCGCATGCACGGTAAGTTCTGAAATTATACGTATGTACAAGCAGACATGCGAGGGAGAAAGGGAGATGGCCATCGACAGTTCCAATACGGCTCCAAGGCGGAAGAGGGGGAGGAGGAGCAGGACAAGGAGGAAAGGAGAGAAGCGAGAAAGGAAGAACGCAGACGGCGCGGCTCTGGACACAAAGGGGTGCCATACTTTCTCCTGCTTTCGCAAACAGGTCCAGTCACACGTAGGGGTATACTCAACCGAATGGTCTTCGCATCCAGAAGCATACTAAAGGCGCGACGCATCGTCGTCTGCGATGGCGCGGAGCGGGCGCGTGGGTGCCCGGCTGCCTGGCTGATACACGTGCGGGCCTGGCTGATACCCGTGCGGTCCCAGATGCCCAATGAGATTGCCGATACGCCTGCTGGCGGGAAGGCCGGTGCTTGCATACGGCAGTGCTACCGCGAGCACGTTGTGGACCTGCGGTGGCAAGGCCTGGTAATCGAGCATGTTCGGAAGCTCGTCGCTCTGACCATACGACCGCCATACGGGCAACCACCACCACTGGTCTTGACGCGGATACGTGATCTCTGTGCCGATTGGGGTCCTCTGGGGCCGCTTGGGGCCGCTTGGGGCCGCTTGGGGTCCTCTTGGGGAAGGGGGGAAGCCTCCTGGCGCGGTTTGGGGTCCACTTGAGAGCCTTTGGGGGGCTCCTTGGAACCATCTTGGGGCCTCTTGGGGGCTTATTGGACCCTCACGGCGGACTCTTGGGGCCTCTAGAACGCCTCCTGGGGCCATCTTGGGGGTCTCTTGGAGCCACCTTGGAGCCTCTCTGGAACCTCTTGGGGGCCTCTTGGAGTCCTCTTGAAGCCTCTTGGGACCATCTTGGGCGCCTCTTTGGGCCTCATGGACGCCTCTTGGGGCCATCTTGCGCGCCTGTTGGGGCCATCTTGGGTTTTAAAGATTCATCAAGAGACCGCGAATGGATTTCGAGATTTTTCGGATGAGAAAGTAGTGCGTTTTCATATGTTTTCTGAACATCGCATCTTGAAATTATTGAAAACCCATTGTGTTTGGCAGGATTTCGACATGCGCGCGCGGCGGCCGCGCGCATGTGCACTTCGTCTCATTTTTTGCAAGGGATGGTGGCCCTCGCAGGCGCGCAACCGTTGTTGGAGAAGTTCAAAGCACCTGAAGAAGTAGCACGCAAAGACCCTTTTGACAGAAATGTTTAAAAAGTGGTGTGTTTCCTATGAATCCGCAAGAGCGCGCGGAAGGACATTTTGACAATTTTTTCTTAAAAAACCATTGGGTTTTTGATGTTTTTATGTTAAAATCGTTACGAAACCTAAGGTTTTGGAAGGATTTCGTCTTGCGAGCGCGAATGTCCACTTTACCTTATTTTTTGCAAGGGATTCTTGAAATTTGATCAACTAAGAACAAGAATTTTCATTTTCTATTGTTTTTTGCAAGGGAAAACGAGCGTCAACAAAAAACCGGATCCGGGGGTAATCCACTTTTCTGAAGCTTTCGCAGAAAAATGATGAAAATGTAGCTGCGGCCTAGGTTTTGGGCGGGGGGCGTGCACCAGGGGGTCCAACAATAATAATTCTTTAGAAGTAATAGTGTTCAACAACAACAACAGCAACAACAACAACAACAACAACAACAACACAACAATACCAACGACGACGACGACGACCACAACAACAACACCAACAACAACAACAACAACAGCAACAACAGCAACAACAGCAACAAGAACAACAACAGCAGCAGCAGCAACAACAACAACAGCAACAACACCACCACGTATATCCCAATCCCTCAATACCCGCCCTCTTCGTCTTGCCTGCAACGTGAGTTTCGTGCAGCCCCTGAGACAGGGGAAGGGGTACGGATGGAAAGAGGGGACAGGGGGGAGGGAGGAGGATGAAGCACGAGAGATACTAGCATGAGGGTAGCTGGGAGCAGAGAACACGTGGCAGAACCAGACTGGCAGGTCGGGCGGGTAGGCCCTACCAGGCGGAGGGCCGAGGCGGCCAAGTCGAGCAGGCGGGTTGCTGAAGCGCACGTCCTGCATGAATTCCGGGGAAAGCTCGAGCGACAGCTCGATTCCCGAATCAATCGTGAGGAAATCCACAGCGAGAGCGTGACTCATGACTGTCGAGGGCGCGGCGTCTGAATCGACTGCGAAGATGTCCCACGCGAGCGCACAATGTCTGCATAAATTGTGATAAAGTCCCGCGCGAGAGCGCGATTTGAATATAAGTTGTGAGGAAGTATCAAGTAACTCGCGCGAAAGGCCAGAGCGAGAGCGTGATTCCTGAGTGTCGAGGGTGAGGAGTCCAAATAAAGTGTTAAGCAGACCTGCGCGAAAGCACCACCCCTGCATAATGTGTGAGGTCCCGCGCGAGAGCGCGATTTCTCAATGAATTGTGAGGGCGTCTCAGGCGGGAGCCGTTGTTGGTTTAGTTCGGGGGCCAGGGGCCAATTTGAGGAGGAACACTTTCCCTTGAAAAAAACGGGTGCGAGCCCCATGAGCACTTTAACTGAAAAACCTCAAGGTGCACAAAAAGGGAGGACCAACAAGAATTGTTCTTGAGCAGTGAGAGCCCGACCACATCATTATCATCAGCATTGCCGTCGTCGTCAGCAGCCGCACCGTTGCTACTCCTGTTCGTTTTACCACACTCCCCATCGACATACATATCCCTCAGTATCCGCCTCCACGTCCTCATATGTATTATCAGCAGCGGTGGCACAATCATGCTGACCATCGTATCGACAACCTAATTTATTAGAATCAACGTCGTCATCTGCAGCAGCATGCTCATAATCATCGTCGACGTAAACACGACCACCTCCATCATCACCACCCAATCCACAACCATGAATCGTGGACCTATAGGATCGGCGATCAGCACCGCACAGCATCATCATTACCATGATCATACACATCCCCAGCATGATCATCATCATCATCATCATCATCATCATCATCATCATCATCATCATCATCATCATCATCATCATCGTCATCAGCATTATCAGCATCATCATGATCATCATCCTCATATCATCATCAATACCAACAACAACATCATCATCATCCTCATCATCATCGTGGTGGTCGTCGTCATCATACTCATCATCAGCAGCGTCACCATCATCATCAGCATCACCATCATCCTCAGCATCATCATCATCGCCGCTACTCCTCATCGTTTCAAACCAACCCCATGCACATATGTCATATCCCTAACTATCCGCCTCCATGCCAACATGCTCATTACCGGCTGCGGCAACACAATCAAAATGACCATCGCGCACATCGACAAGATATTAGTCATCGCAACCGGAATCGTCATCAGCAACAGCATGGTCAGAATCATCGTGCCGACATAACCGCCACCATCCTCATCACCACATCCACCATCATACTCATGTTCCTGATCAGCATCATCATCGCCACCACGAAAATCACTATGCAAATCATCCGTACCATCGTAATCATGATCGGCATACCCTTGCCTCATCGATACCATGCTCCTCCTCATTCTCCCCCTCCTCCTCCTCCTCCTCCTCTTCTCCTCCTCCTCCTCCTCCTCCTCATCATCATCATCATCACTGCAATCACCACCTTCAACTATACCCAGATCGTTACCACCACCGTCATCATCATGCCATTGCCACTGCAATCTTCACCACATCATCATCAGCAGCATCATCACCATTGGAACAATCATCATCAGAAGCATCAGCATTATCCTCATCGTCATCCTCATCCTCATCCTCATCATCATCATCACCACCATCATCATCATCATCAGCATCATCACCATCATCATCCTCAGCATCATTAGCATCATCATCATCAGAAACATCACCAGCATCATCATCATAATCATCAGCATCATGTTCATCTCCACATGTCCTTCCATTCTCCATCCATCCCACTTCTTTTCTCCTTCTATCCATCCATCGATCCATCCCAACTCTACTCTCACCATCCAACCTCCCTTCACCCCCACCTCCCTGGATCGCCGCGCCTGTTCTGGAAGAGGTGCTGGCGCGCGAACCGGAGGGCCTCCACCGAGTCCTCGACCTGCAGGCGCACGGCGCACACGCTCTCCAAATCCCAGGGCACGTCATCCTCCTCCCCTCATCCTCCTCCTCCTCCTCCGCCTCCTCCCTCGTCCTCGCCATTGTCGCATCATCATCATCATCATCATCATCATCATCATCATCATCATCATCATCATCATCATCATCATCATCATCATCATCATCATCATCATCATCATCATCATCATCATCATCATCATCATCATCATCATCATCATCATCATCATCATCATCGTCATCGTCATCGTCATCGTCATCGTCATCATCATCATCATCGTCATCATCATCAGCATCATCATCATCAGCAGCAGCTGCAGCAGCAGCACCATACTCATCATCATCATCATCATCATCAGCATCATCAGCAGCATCATCACCATCATCATAATAATCATCAGCAGTATCAGCATCATCATCATCAGCATCATCATCAGCACCATCATCATCTTCATCAGCAGCAGTATCACCATCATCATCACCATCATCATCATCACCATCACCATCACCACCATCATCATATAGTCTCATTCTCGTCCTCATCCTCAGCCTCGTCATCCTCCTCCTCGCCCTCACCCACCCTCATACATCTTCCTCCAGGAGCGGCATCGTCGGCTCGAGAGGATTTCGGGCGCTGGTAGCAGCGTGCCTGCGAATTCTCTCGCCTGCGTGGCCTGACACGCCCGCGCGCCTTCTAGTCACGACCTGTGGAAGGAGGGCTACTCGTTCGAGCCTTCCTGGCATCGACGTGCAGGAGCAGACCGCAGCAGGGCCACCCTCCTCCAGGCACTGAAAGGTTCAGCCCAGACCCCGCCGTCCCTGGGACACGCTTGCAGGGCCGCCGATGGATCGGACGACTCCCGTGTCTGCTCCTGTCGGACGTGCAGGTGCTGGACGCCTGGCCAGAGGTCTGCCAGTCCGGTCCTCGCCTGCAGTGGCCCCTGCGGGGGCCCGCCGCTCGCCCTCGAAGGCAGGCCCCGGACAACCGGTCCGTGGCTCAGAGCAGGGCTGGACCTAAACGGTGTTCTTCGTTCTCGTTTCGTCTTCGTTTCCCCTCGTCCTGTCCTCAACCCGCCCTCAACGCAAAACGAAGTCGAGACGAAAGCAGCCCACGAGATCGCCAAAACACCGTTCAGGTCCACCCCTGGCTCAGAATGCGCAGAGGTCTCCGACCGAAGAGACCCGGGTGAGGTGAGCTCGATTAGGGGGCCACGTGCAAACCCTACCCCTACCCCCCTCAAAAATCGTGGGGGGTAGGGGTAGGGTTCGCATGTGGCCCCCTATCGATGGCAGGCCTCGGACACCCGGTCCGTGGCTCGCAGCTCGCCTTTGAAGGCAGGCCTCGGACACCCGCTCCGCGGCCCCAAAACTCTGATTAAGGTCTGTTTGAGGTCGGTTCGAGGTCTGTTTAAGGTCTGTTTGAGGTCTGGCCGAATATCTGAGGTCTGTTTGAAGTCTGGCCGAAACTCTGTTTCAAGTCTGACTTCCCCGGGCGGCCCTTGGGTTCCCTGGGGAGCCTCCGGGCGGCCCTGGAACGAGGCGAAAACGATGGCAGGAACGAGGGCGAGAATGAGGGCGGGAACGAGGGCGGGAACGAGGGCGAGAACAAGGGCGGGAACGAGGGCGGGAACGAGGGCGAGAACGAGGGCGGGAACGGGGACGAGAACGAGGGCGGAAACGAGCGCGGGAACGAGGGCGGGAACGAAGGCGGGAACGAGGGCGGGAACGAGGGCGGGAACGAAGGGGGGGACGAGGGCGAGAACGAGGGCGGGAGCGACGGCGGGAACGAGGGCGGGAACGAGGGCGGGAACGAGGGCGAGAACGAGGGCGGGAACGAAGGATGGAACGAGGGCGGGAACGAGGGCGGGAACGAGGGCGGGAACGAGGGCGAGAGCGAGGGCGGGATCGAAGGCGGGAGCGAGGGCCGGAGCGATAAGGGAAGGTGGAAGGAGAAGGGAGGGGATAAGGGGAGGAAGGGAGGAGGAAAGGGGAGGGGAAGACGGTGGAGAATAAGGGAGGGCCAGGGAGAGGGGGAGGAGGGAAGGTGGAGGATAAGGGAGGGGATAAGGGGCGGAGGAGAGACAAACTGAGGACGAGAGGGGGGGGGGAAGAGGGGCGCGAACGGGGGAGGATGGAAATGGGGGAGAGGGAAGCGGAGGAAGGAGGGAGGGGATGGACGAGGTAGGAAAGAGAGCGAAAACGAACCAGGGTCCGATAAAACGAGAACACGACCCAGGGGCCGACAAAACGAGACAACGAGAAAAAAAAACAGTGCCCGAGAAAACGAAACCACGACCCAGGGGCCGAGAAAACGAGACAACGAGAAAACGAACCAGGGCCCGAGAAAGCGAGAACACAACCCAAGGGCCGAGAAAACAAGAAAAACGTGAAAACGAACCAGGGCCCGAGAAAACGAAACAATAATCCAGAAGGCAAGAAAACGAGAACGAGACAATGAACCAGGGTCCGAGAGAAAACACGATAACGACCCAGGGGCCGACAACACGAGAAAACGTAAAACTAACCAATGTCCGTACGAGCAAACGAGACCACGACCCAGGCCGAGAAAACGCGAATATCGGTCCTAGAAAACGAGACCACGACCCAGGGGCCGAGAAAACAAGAAAACGACAAAGGAATCAGGGCCCGAGAAAACGAGACTACGAACCAGGGGCCCAGAAAACGAGGCAACGAGAAAACTAACCAGCGTCCGACCACGACCCAGGGGCCGAGAAAACAAGAAAACGAGAAAACTAACCGGGGTCCGAGAAAACTGGACCACGACCCAGGCGCCGAGGAAACAAGAAAACGAGAACACAAACCGGGGCCAGAGAAAACGAGACCACGACCCAGGGGCAGAGAAAACGAGAAAACGAACCAGGGTCAGAAAAAACGAGCCCACGACCCAGGAGCAGAGAAAACGAGAAAACAAGAAAACGAACCATGGCCCGAGAAAACCAAACCACGACCCAGGGGCAAAGAAAACGGGAAAACAAACCGGAACAGAGAAAACGAGACCACGACCCAGGAGCCGAGAAAACAAGAAAACGAGAAAACAAAACGGGGTGGGAGAAAACAAGACCACGACCCAGGGGACAATGAAACAAGAAAACAAGACAACGAATCAGGGTCAGAGAAAACGAGACCACGACCCAGGGGCCGAGAAAACGATAAAATGAGAAAACGAACCAGGAGGCCGAGAAAACGAGACAAAAACCCAGGGGCCGAGAAAACGAAAAAACGAAACAACAAAAAAAAACTAACCGGGGCCCGAGAATCCGAGACCACGACCCAGGGGCCGAGACAACGAGAAAACGGGAAAACGAACCGGGGCCCGAGAAATCGAGACCACGACCCAAGGGCCGAGAAAACGAGAAAACGAACCAGGGTCAAAGAAAACAAAACCACAATCCAGGGGCCGAGAAAACGGAGAACACGAGAAACCGAACCAGGGTCCGAGAAAACGGAACCACGATCCAGAGGCCGAGAAAACAAAAAACGAACCAGGGTCAGAGGAACGAGACCACGACCCCGGGGACGAGAACACGAGAAAACGAGAAAACTAACAAGGGTCCGAGGAAAAATGACACCACGACCCAGGGGCCGAGAAAACAAAAAAACTAACAAAATCAAGGAAAACGAAAAAGAAAACAACGAACAAGGGTCCAAGAGAACGAGACCACGACCCAGGGACCGAGAACACGAGAAAACGAACCAGGGGCCGAGAAAACGAGACAAAAACCCAAGGGCCGGGAAAACAAGAAAACGAAGCAAACCGGAACAGAGAAAACGAGACCACGACCCAAAGGCCTACAAAACAAAAAAACGAGGAAACGAACCAGGCCCCGAAAAAACGAGACCACGACCCAGGAGCCGAGGAAATGAGAAAACGCGAAAACGACCCACGACCCAGGGGCCGAGATCACCAGAAAACGCGTAGTTCGAGAAAACGAGACCACGACCCAGGAGCCGAGAAAACGAAGAAACGAGAAAACGAAGCAGGGTCCGAGAAAACTGGACAACGACCCAGGCGCCGAGAAAACGAGAAAACGAGAACGCGAACCAGGGTCAAAGAAAACGAGACCGCGACCCAGGAGCCGAAAACACGAGAAAACTAGACAACGAACCAAGGCCGAGAAAATGGGAAAACGAGAAAAGGAATCAGGGCCCGAGAAAACGAGACTACGAACCAGGGGCCGAGAAAGCGAGACTACGAACCAGGGGTCGACGTTATTCTCCAATTCGCTCTCTAGTGCTGCGGTGCGCACATGTCGTCAAGGATTTCGCCATTTTGCCAAAGCCCCGGAAGGGAGGGGGGGGAGGTAGCTTCGGAAGCCCACCCCCCTTGGCACAGGAGGGGGGGGTAGCTTGAAGCCGCCTCCCGTGTGTCCAGACCAAGAAAGGAAGCAGGGTGGGGGTAGCTTCCGAAGCCCCCCCCCTCCTTTGAAAGGGAAGCCCGGGCTTGCCTTCTGCTCCGGAAAAGGGAGGGGGGGGATAGTTTCGAAGCTTCCCCCCCCTTTAGCCAGGGCCCCCCTAGCTTAGAAAGCCTTCAGATGGGAGGGGGGGGTAGCTTCGGAAGCTCCCCCCCGTTTCGAAGGAAGGGGGGGTAGCTTGAAGCTGGATCCACCCTTTTAGTTTTGAGTTCCGTACGGGCGCGCTTTAACGAAACTATGGTTTGGCTCTGGCCTGAAACTCTGGTTCATCTCTCTGGTTTAACTGAAGCTCTGAATTAGCTCTGGTCTGGAACTCTGATTTAACTCTGATTTCTGGTTGGGGACAAAACCGAATCAGAGTTAAATCGGAGTTCAGACCAGGGTTAAATCAGAGTTTCGAGAAAATCAGAAATGAAAAAGAGTTATGGGCCAGAGTTGAATCAGAGTTGGATCAGAGTATTATTAAGAGTTTTTTGAGCTAAATTTTGAAGCTAGTTTGCCTCCAGAACACAGGCTCAATGCTAGGATCGAGCTCGCACGGCTGTGCCCC